AGTTCTTGCTGACTGATTCATCATTCAAGCTGTGCAAAAGCATAATACTTGTGCTTAAAAAGTTGCCCCAAAGAATGCTTCTTTTTCCCATGTGGCAAGGGATCAAAAAGCTGAATAGGGAACAGCAAGAGGCATAGGACCCCCCCCCACGCAATGCCAAATTGACATGTGAAGGATTCCTGGGTCAACCATATGTTTTACATGCATATAAATGTCGAAGAGAATGAAAGAAAATTGACAAAAGCTGAAATTTTTTTGAGAAAAGGTAAAGTAAGATTTTCATTAAGAGAAACAAAATACCTTGTACAACTAGAGGCTGTAACAGGGAGAAACAGACAAAAGCCTAAATGGGTACCAATACCCAGATGCTTTCCCATGCTGAACATATATTTGTCAATACAAAATAATACTAACAGAGTTCATAGTCGCCATGCATGGAACTCCTAGTCCTAGCATACCTTATTCAAGCCTATTTATTAGGCAAAAGTTAATGTTTGACCTGTTTTTTTAATATTGTTGCAACATGATTTGATTGATGAGTGGACAAACCTCCAAGTCTATCAAAATGGGATCTGATAGACAACAACAAAAAACAGCTGTGACTATTTGCTTTTTATTAGCCCTTAATAGTGCTTGTGTTTGTTTTCTTAATGAAGGTTTACAAAAAAGAAACTTGCATGGCTCCAATTTTAATCTTTTTTTCTTTGGAGAGGCAAGACTCTTTAGCATCTACAATAGATAGTGGACTAGCAGTGCTAACCGAACTGTGGGCCTTTTTTTCCAAACCAAATAGATTTTTAGGTTTTCAGAAAACCAAAAACCAAAGTCGAACCGAAACCAATTTTTCAGTTTTTTTTTTTGAATTTATAATATATATTTATATAATGCATATATATGTATATATAATATATAATATATGGAAAACATATAAAATATATATGAAAAATATATAATATATATACTGATAGGTTTGGTTAGCCAGATTTTTTGGTTTGGTTTGGTTTGGTTTTTGGTTTCTGATGAGCACCCCTAACAATATACAGCAAATTAAGTTGGTTCCCAACATTGACCAACAGCCTTGCTGATAGCCCCCACTGCTAGGGAATTGGAACTTGGAAAGGAAAGTCATGATTAGGTGACGCCAATCCTGGATTAAGCTTGTTAGTGATTTCATGGTTGGGTTGCTGCTTTACTACTTTGTACCATGTTCCCTCATCTGAGATCTTTTGGATGAAAGAAGTGTACTAGCCATTTTAACCTTTTCCCTCTAAATAAATTTTCTTTGATCACAAAGTTCGTAAAAATACAATATTGTGTTTCATTTTTCAACAGCATACCCAACTTCCCTTTTATTTTAATATCAATTGCTTATGTAATTTCATGTTTTTCTTGTATTGGTACCCTGTATCCCTTATACATAATTTGAGATGTGAACACTAAGAAACAGTCCACTTAGATGTGCAAAATTGCAAGCAAGCAAATGAATGGGGTGCACATAGCTAGTTGGTTCCATGTTCCTAAGTTTGCGCTTGAATGTGTCTGTGTTTGAGTCTGAGGAAGTCATCTTTTCATTTATTTTGTTTCTATTTTTGGAGAGAGCCATAGAGAGAAATCTATTGCAAAATGCATATCCACAAAAGTTCAAGCTAATTGGGTCCAGCTGGGCAATCCAGGCCCTGCAGGCATTGGATGAGCTATCAGGGATGAGGAAGGCAATATTTGTGCCTTATTCTCAGGTCCAACTGGGCATACTGATGTGGCTTCTACAGAATTCTTAGCTGCTGTTTTTGCACTTGAGAAGTCTAAGGAACTGGATCTGAGGAAGTTGTCTTTTCATTTATTTTGTTTCTATTTTTGGAGAGAGCCATAGAGAGAAATTTATTGCAAAATGCATATCCACAAAAGTTCAGGCTAATTGGGTCCAGCTGGGCAATCCAGGCCAGCTGTGTGGGCGATCCAGGCCCTGCAAGCATTGGAGGAGCTATCAGAGATGAGGAAGGCAATATTTGTGCCTTATTCTCAGGTCCAACTGGGCATACTGATGTGGCTTCTACAGAATTCTTAGCTGCTGTTTTTGCGCTTGAGAAGTCTAAGGAACTGGATCTGGAAAGGCTAATTACTGAAGGTGACTCCAAAACAGTTGTGGACTAAATGGGGAAGGAGTCTCTTGGCACCTAAGGAATGGCCTTAGGAGAATCAAAAGGCTCTCCAGGGGTAATGCTGATTCAAATTAATTGGGTTAGAAGATCGGCCAACAGTTTGGCAGATAGTCTGGCCAAACAAGGGGTACAAAGACTGGCATTGTTTTGGGCCTATAAGTAATTCTTTGGGGGTTAGGACATCTGGTGTCCTTTTTGTTTCCCTCACAACTTCTGGTTGTATTGTATTGATAAAAAAAAAGAGTTCTAGCTAATCGGAATGCATAGGAGCATTCCAAAATCACATATAAATATATCTCAAACAAGTTCAACCAGGTCTGAAAATCTAGAGGAAGATATATTCAACATTGTAACCATCATTTCTTGACACTGGATATATATTATCACAATACACTTATTTATAAGATACAACCAGCTATACAGGATTAGTATGATTCTAATGTACTTCACAAGAGCACTACAAGGGATATGAAAAATTTAACAACTTCAAAGACCATCTTCATATTTTATAAGCTAACAAAAATACCAAATTAAATGGGAAATAACACAACCATGGCATAAGTAAAAACAAAATAACCACCCTTAAGAGCACATCAACTTGTATATATCTGCTACAACCTACCTATTTTTGACCTCAAGACTGCGCATAGGGAGGTGGAAGTTTGGGATGACAGCTGCTTCTGGAGACCTCCATCGTCCAACTCTCCTGTTCGGTAGAAAAAAGTAAATAGCATGAGTACAGGAGATATTTGCTCAAAGTTGAAAACCATTTGTCCATTTGGTCTTCAGTTCACAGAAGGCCCGGAACTGCCTCCATTTAAAACTAACACCTCAATCAAAATATCGGTAAACCAAAACCATGCATTGGTCACTTTGAGCAGTTAATATAGTGGTAAAACAAGAAATGACAAGGTCAGAAATAGTCATCCAAAGGAACCTAGGAGTAGCTCCAATAGATGATTAAATGAGAAAATAGACTAGGATGGTTTGGTCACATGCACACAAGACCATATACAACAGCCATTAGAACAAAACAAGTGATCTGTTACAAGTTGAAGGGACAAGAAGAGATAAGGGCAAACCAAAAAGAACTTAGGTGGAAGTACTACAAAATGATTTAAGCACCCATAATTTAACAATGGATATGGCACTGAAACAGAACAGAATGGCAAAACAGGATTCAGGTATCCAACCCCATATAGTTCAGACAAGGCTTTTTTGGCATTATACCACTGAAGAGTGGAGCTATTTTCTGATGGATAGTAACTTCTAGAGAGAGAAACTCTGCAACAACTAGGTAGAGCCCTTAGAATTACAGTTGATGTGGTGAAACACAAAAAGACTTCTTCCATTAGTAGGAAACAATCGATGATTAGGTTTCAATTTCAGTATTTGCTAAAATAAACCTGAACCATTATTCAAGCACCCAGTGAAGGAAATGAGTCAGGAAAGTAAAATGAATTGCATAAGAAAATAATTTCCAACATAAGACATGCTTTCAACCAGGGGCCATTACTTAGTGTAATTGTAAAGTCTCGGGCTGGCAAGCGTGAGGGGGAGAACACAAGTTTGAGTCTGAAAGTAGCCACTTTGTGCCAAAAAAAAATGCCCAAGGTTAGGGCCATATCCAATCTACCCCCTCCAAAGACCCCAGATAGTTGGGACCAATATTAGGTAGTGGACATGCTTCAAACATCTTCTCACATTTAAGAGGTGTTCAGGCCTTGGTTTTGCAATATTCAAACTTTATATGTTTCTAGCATTTTTCAGAGAACCTAATCCACAGGAAAGCAAATTCCAAACCAACTAGGCAACTACAATGACAAGCATGTCCAGAATATAGCACTCTTAAACTTTTTAGTTTGGTTAGCAACGTGCATTATATTGCAATCCAACCATACGTAAGACTCTAAGAGAACTAATGATTGATTCCAAAAAAGAATGGAGTACATCAGTAAGAAGCATAAGCAATTTCCTTCATCCACTAAATATAGGCCCAAGGGGGCATTGTTTTGTTTGGTAAAATATTGGGATGATAAGCATGAAAGAATGCAGGTTCAAGTCTGACAGTGGCCTCTTTGTGCAAAAAAAGATGCCAAAGGTTAGGTTCATATCCGAGTCACCTCTCCCAAGCCCCAAGACCTCAGATGACAGGGACCAACATCTGTAATGGCCTTTTTTATCAAACATAGACCTAGAGCCACCTCTTCCAAATCATCAATGATTGAATAATGCAAACAACAAAGGTTCATAAATTGACAACATATTGTCACCATGACGGTGATCGAATACCTTCTCTCATTCTCTGTACAATGGAGATGTACAATATATAAAAATCTCTTAGGAATTACAAGTTCTCATAATGAAAAAAATAAAAAAAAAGTATTTTATGATAATCCTTTTAAAAGTATTGTGAACCAACAGCCAGGACAAGGAGTTCCCACTGCCCTGTTCACTATAACCTCCTCTATGCATTTTTTATTTCAAATATATTGGCATTCCTTCCCTGGCAAATATTCCATGAAATCATGTCAGATATACTTTTCCATTTGACCTTCCCTTTTTTTTGATAAGTCATTTGACCTTCCGTCTTCTGCCAATCCCTTTTGAATTCCAGCTTTGGAGGATAGATTCCAATGTGTAAAAACATCTTTTCACTCCAAAGATTTCCATGGACTTTTCCAATTATAGGTTGCACACCTTACAATGGAAAAACAAATAATTTGTAGGCTCCATTGCTGCTATACATAAAATACACTGCAAAGAATTCAGGACTCCAGGATCATTCCTCACCTACTTAGACTAACCTTCCAGATCAAGGAGTCATTTCCCTACTCATGGCACCACTCAGATGATAGTGCTTTTTACCACCAAGGTTCCACTTTATACATTCCATGATAGACTTCCCATGACTACAAAAGCTTTCTTCCAGCAACCACTTCAGAACCATGATTTTAGGAGGGCCACTAGACTACCTCCAAGAAAACTCTTGTATTTGCTTTCCCAGTAAAGATAGGATAACTCAAATTGGGTGCTCTTGTCCAAGATGATAAATGCAAAAAGACGATAACATACAAAGCAACAGCAGAACCTCTTAGCAACCAGGTCCCTAATGAGAATATAGACAAGTCACTAATTTTATAGAACCTTTTTTTTTTCTGCAAGACATTTTTTAAGTAAAAGATAAGGATGATAAAATACTCTTGAGCAGTACTTAAGATGAATAGAATGAATGCATAGTTCAAGAGTTTTCTTCCAGGATGCCACAACAGAAGAAACAACAAAAAATGATACTTTCACCCAAATAGTGGCTTTCAACCCTATTGTAGCCCGAGTGACTATGTTTGCCGAATCAACTTTAAGAGATGGAAAAAATTGAAAAAAAAGAGGGACAAAGATAACAATTTCTGAGTCCCAATATGAAAAAAAGGTCATAATCAAGTAATTATCAATAGGAGACATAAGGTTCTTAGGTACCAAGCACAAGAGCACTCCGTCTACATATTTTTCAATAGCATTGCGTAGACTTCTACACTAACATATTAAAGAAAGCACGAATTATCCAAAGTCTAAAGTCAATAGAAAGCTTACCCTCTTTTAGTATTTGACCGTTAGATTGGAGATATGAATAAAGCATTAAAATATGATATCATGATTCAGAACTCCTGCTTTCCTAGAAGAATCAATACCAAAAGAGGTTCAATATTACAAACTCCTCATAGATGAAGGAAAGGAATAACGGTGAAGGCATTCATGCAACCTCCAGAACATGCTGAATAAAACCTTTCCATACACACACATTCAGAATAAAACGCACTCAAATTAATAAAAATAATTTCTGCAGCAGATGCACACTAATTGCCAAAACCAAATTTTTTACTTCATCAGTTCAGCAATGGCAGAATGGTTTGCTGAACTCTGCCAAATCTTCTCCCTCTGCTTACGTAGTATTGGAAAATATGCAGAGGTGGTCTTGGAAAATAACAAATTAACAATAAGAGAGAAAAATGTACGACAATAAGGTTTTCTTCGATGCATTCGATAAACAGACTGTATTTATTATGAAAACCAAAAATAAAAATAAACTACGATAATAAATAAAGGAAATGAAGTATCAGAGTAACCTCTTATGGTTATTGGCGCCAGCGGGGCGCGGAAGCTGGAGGGTTGCATATCTTAAGGACGCTCCGTAGCCCATTAACGAAGACATTTGGTGAGACAGATTCAGAGATCGGATTCCCGATACGCTGCTACCACAATACTGTATAGATCTGAACAAAAAAGCGTACTGTTAAAAGCCGAATAAGGAAGAAGAAAATATAATAATGCTACAAGATGCTTTTCTTACGGGAATAGCGTATTGAGGCTATGAAGATACCTGCTAAGATTTTGAGATAGAGATTGAGAGGGACAGAAAGAAAGGTGGCGGTTTAATAGACGATGATGATTTGAGTGGTGGAAGTGGTAGTAGTAGGGAAAATCGTCGGACTAATCAGGCTTTGGTGGCTGACTTGGAGCAGGTCATCGGAGTCGTACAAGGCGGCGTGAAGGAGAGACGCAGCTTCCATTCGGACTTGGTGAGTGGAGCAGGTGACGAAAGGAGTCAAGGAGATTATGCTTAGCTGCTGTGAAATGTGAATGATCAACGAAGCGTGAGGGGGAGGGGGGAGCTATGGAGTATGGCCTATGTGAGTGAGGGCTCTTAGGGTTTTTATTTCGGGAGGATGCACGCTTTGATGACACTTGGCAAACATGTGAATGTGAAAATGTGGGTCCGACGATTCCATGCCATGGGCTTGGCAACCAAACCGCTTCCCTGGTTTTCTGAATTTCGTCGAGCCCCGGAAATAGGGGTACAAGTCGGGTGGGCTGGGCCGGATTTTAGCTCAATCCAAGCCCAATCATAAAAATTAGGCCTAAAAATCGAATCAGACTTCATCCCCGAATTATTCAGCACGAGCCCAGTTCGCTAAAATTTAATGTTAAGACCTGGATTATTCTTGAATTAGTCAATTAGTCCATATTAAAAATTAATATATTTGTATATAGAGGTATGTATATATGTACAGTTTATTAAAAAATATAAACGTGTAAGTATCTATCTATTTATCTAAAAATTAATATATCGTTCGGTGTAAACGGATTGAATTCGAATTGAATAAGGCAATATCCGAATTCAATTCGATATTTAATGGATATTGAAAATTAATATTCAAATTCAATTAAATATTTGAATATTTGATTCGATTTAATTTGAATTCAACCAATGAATTATTTTAGATAATTAATAAATATATAAAATAAATATTTTATTTATTTAAAGCATATAAATATATAAATTATTTATATCATTTAATTATATATATATATAAATTATATAAAACATTTAAACATTTTATATATTATATATAAGAATTAAATGATCAATCGAATTCTGATATTCATTGAATCGAATCAGGTCATATCCGAATTCGAACCCGATTAGCTATTTGATATGAATAGGATATCCAATTTTGACCATTTAGATATTTGAATTATCCATATTCGATTCGATTATGTCAATCTCGAATTCGAAATCAGATTTTCGAATACCATTGACACCCTTATTTTAAATAGATTTCAAATCATTCTAAAAAAGTTGAGAGTGGTCAACTCTACTTTCAATTAGGAGGCTTCAAGCTTAGCTACATATCAAACCACTCTTTCAAAAGTGAGGGTAGTTAAATAAAAAAACAACTAAATAGCTGTTTCTCATCTCTATAAAAATAAAACTTAAGTTAATCTCTTAAATTAAATAATAAAAATGTGTGTTATACAAAAATGATAAAATACATGAGTAAAAAATATATATGTACAAGGGGTTATGCCTAGTTTACTGGTAAACTAGTGAAGCTTAAATTGTTTTGCATTAGTAGCCAATTGAAAAGGCTTGTTTCATTAATTTGTAACTCATCATTTAGGAGGGATTAAAATTAAGCACTTATTTTGGGTTGAGACCATGCCAATAAGCACTTGAAATAAGTCAAAAATAAGTTTTTAATATGACAGTAAACACTTATTTGAGAAGCCCAAATTTTTATGCTTATTGTTAAGAGTTATTCAATAAGTGCTTATTTCCTTTCCCACTTCAAATATATATCACCCCATCTTCATGTCTCTATGTCTTATCTCTTTTTGTCTTTCTCATTTATCTTGTTCCTTCTTGTCTTGCTCCTTCCCTATTCTATCAGCAAAAAGACTATCACGAACCCTTTTTTCTTTTCACGTGTGCCTCTCTCTCTCTCTCTCTCTCTCCTTGTCTTCACCCCTTCTCTCTCAGTCACAGGAAGGGAGTTTTATTTTCTTCCAAACCCTACCACCCTACCCCCCCCCCCCTCTTCTTCCCAGTCACAAGAAGGGAGTTTTATTTTCTCTTAAACCCTACTACCTTACCCCCTTCTCTCTTCTTCTCAATCATGGGAAGAGAAAAACCCTATTTGAATACCCCTTGTTCCCACTTCTTCTCAGTCACCACAAGGAATTTTCTTTACCAGCTTCCTACAGGTTTCACCTTATTCTAGTACCCCCTCTTCTCTCTTCTTCTCTATTATCGTCCTTTGGATTAGTGACTTCCTTTTCATATTTTCCGCTTTCCTTTGCACAGCATTGGAGTTTTTTCTAGAGTTTATGTGCTTTGACATTCGATGGATTGCCAGCTTCCTTTGCACGATGGACTTCTTGCAGTCCGTGCCAAGTGAGGGTTGTTGTCTCCTTTGTTGGATTACTGACAACCTTCCAGGATGTGTGAAGCTTTACCTCCGTAGATAATCAATGACTTAATCATAATTAGTTGTAATTAATTATTTTTTGCATGATACACGTATGCTGGTGGCCATCACCTCGTAGATTTGATGGCTTAGAACTCTACCCTCACACGTAATGAGAAATCTAATAGTTGGGATTGTGATTAATGTCCTATCGTCAATTGCAAATATATTTGTGTTGATATTTATTTATTTTGCACTTTTTATCTGGTATAATAGTTATTTATTATAAAAAATAATTATTATTTTCTGTATTGCTTAGGATTATTGAGCACATGAAGTGTATTATCCTACATGTAATTAATAAGTGTTAATCAGTTTCTTCACACTTCTTAGTATTTTTTATACCACTAATTTCTTTTTCTAATGGTTCTAACCGACTGATTTTCATTTTAGTCACGATTTGATTTGATTGGGTTAGAACGATAATAATTCCTCCTCAACAGATGGTAGGGATTTTTCTTTCATCATTCTCTATATATTACTTCACTCTTCTGGTACTGTCTTCCTCTTGTTCCCTTTGCTTTCATGTTTTATTACCTCTATTACTATTGTTCAATGCTCTATTGTGTTGTTGTCATTGATCTTTAATTCCATTGTAATATAAATGATATTAGATAAAAAAAATAACAAAATACCACTAACATGGTATTTGTGTTTTAATATTTACATAATCCTTTTGTTTTATTTTTTCAGCTAATTGTGATTCCTGTGCTAATACTTCACCAAATGAAAAAAAAAAAAAACGCCTATAGCAAAACATGCGGGAGATTTCATGCATTATTTTTTTTATTTGTGTGTTCCTCTTTCTCTCCATCTAGGATTAGGAATGGATTTGCTAATGCATTCCATGTGGGAGATTTCATGAATCTTATGAATAGCAGTTCAAGCAACAACTAAAGCTTAAAGAATGAGAGGTGTGCTTCATCCAATCACCAAGTATTTTAAACCAGGTTGGCTTCAGTTGTCACTACTCATTCCAAGGGGCCAAAAACAGTCCCTTTGGCAGTCTATTGAATAAAGGCTTTTCCCAATACCATTTTTTTCATGGGTTCAGGGATTAGCAAAATGCTTTGCCAATACTCTAACTATTTAAGGAGTGAATAGGGAGCAACTATTTTGGTTCTTCACATGTAAAATGAATGCAAAAGAAAAAGTGTTAGCTTCCACAAGTATTTATTATTTGCTTATTTTTAGTAAGTACTATGTAACTATCAAAAGAATAAATTGAAGAAAGAAATCTAACAGATAGTAGGAAGTTCCCAGAGAGAATTAGTGAGAAATTTAAGGTTTATTTTCTTTTTCATGCATTCGTGTCCTCTAGAATATACATACTTTCCTCTTCTCTTGCTCTTCTTTTTCACTCCACAAAAAAAGTAGGATCTCTCTCAGTATGGGGATCATGATGTCCCCATTCAAAAAATCTTCCCTATGTTCCCATAATGTCAAGGGTGCAACTTGGGCACCTAACCTTACTCTACATGAGGCCTGGCCCTAAGATGGATCTATTAAAATCTTAACAAATGGGCAACTTAAGCTTTCCCATGTTGTAGCTACATAATAGTTTGATGTGAATGCAATGGCATTAGAAATAATATTTACTAAATTTAGACACTAAAAATTATCTTCTAAGGCAAAAACACCAATGTATTCCTACTACTGTAGTTTGGCAATAAAGTGAGCTAGTAAAGATCAAGAGGTTGAACTACAAACATAAAATGAAATTTCTTTACCTACTTTTGAAATTGTTTCTTATATCCTAGTGACTAATCTCTAAACCTATCATGTATAATACAATACAAAACATGAATTCAAGCACCTTCTTGCCAAGGCTGAAATAGGAAATAAATAGCTAAAATCCCTTTAGAAAGTAAACCTTAAAGGGAGGAAGAAAATTAATAGTTCCAGTAAAATAATAAAAAAACAATCACTTTGCTAGAGTTAACCAATGATAGGAAAAGCAATCCTCTAGAAAGTAAACCTTTAAGTAAAATGATAGTTACAGATCTAGTCATTCACAGTTTAACACTAGTGACATCATTGATCACACTGTAGTTCTACAGGTCTACATCTCTATTTTCAATCAAATTGAATGTCCAAAACACTTTGGGCATTCAATCAGATTAATAAAATTCCTCTAGAAAAGTTCAAAGAGGTAAGATTAAACCCATGTACATCATCTTCATCATCTATCTTGTGGAGCTCAATCCAAATATCTATAAAGTAGAGGTAGTGATCCTTTGGTCTTTAGGAAACAAACCAAAATCCAAAAAACAAGGGGGTGAACAAAAAATAAAATCAGAGAGAAATATGTGAAAATTGTTGCCATATCCATAAAATAAGATGTGAAAAAGAAAAACAACAAATACATACCAATTAAAAGGCCTAGCCATTGGTGAAATTGACAAGTTCTTCTCTACTTTTTAGGCTTAGGGCACACTAATGGGGAGAAATTGACTAGTTTTCCCACCTATTTGTACCCTCTCTCATGAGTATTTATATTTTCTTGGCTAAAATTCCTCTATAGTACATGATAGGTTTCCCTGAAATTGACAAGTTTTCCACTTCTTTTGTACCCTCTTCCGCAAGTATTTATTCTTTGTTTAGCTAAAATTCCTCTACAAAGTACATGATAGGTTTCCCTTTAAACCTATCATATACAATACAATATCTATATTCAGGGGACCTTCTCATGATTGGTGTTCTCTGCCACTTTTGCACCCTCCACCCTAAACCCCAAAAAAGACTCAAGCCCCAGCACCCCCACTCCCCAACTGTTGCATTGGGAAGACCTATTGCAACATCCCCTCCCTCCTGAACTAGTACAATAGGATCTAAGCTTGCTTTTGGCAAATGACACTCCATTTTGGTCACTTTTCTTCTTCTATGATGTGCTAACCTGTCTTGGCCTCAAACATGCAATGATCACCAATACACCTCCAACAACACTCAACACAAAAGCATACTTCTAACGTGCTCTCAGCAAACACACCTCCCACAACACCCAACACATAAGCAAATCAACATGAATTCTCTACCACTAAGACCCTTATATTTCCTCTAAAAGGGCAAAAAAACCCTTGTAGTTTTAGTAAAATGATAAATAAAAAGCAATCACTTTCTAAAGTTCAATGGTAAGAAAAAGCAATCCTCTAGAAAGTAAACAATTAAGTAAAATGGTAGTTGCAAATCTAGCCACATAATAGCAACCATTACTTTCTTGTATCTAATCCAATAAGATAATAACATTTGTATCTAATATATTTGAGCTGAAAGTCTAATAAACTAATCTTATTTAGTCACATCAACAACTATGAATGCGTAACCCAAAACAAATTGTTACAACAAACATTATTTAGGTTTTGCATAAGATGAAACTATGATCTCTCTGCAAGTAATGAATCACCATTTAAGCTTATTCACATTCTTAGGATTGCCATATCATGTGGTAGTTTCTAGTCATTCCATTCCCATACTATTAGATTCATGTGTTAGGCTTCAAAATGTGATTGCACCACATTAGTATCCTATATCCCATAGATAATAGGCTGATTATTTTCTCTACTTTTTGAAGAAAACTAGATGTCAATAAGTTGGGAGGGATTGGTTGTGTTTAGCAAAAATGAAAGCAAAGGCCTCAATCTGAATTTCCAACCAAATCCAAACGCAAGCCCAAGCTGACGTTAAATGAGATCATGATTACCATCCAAAGAACTAACTTAATTGAATCAGATTAGGTTGGTTGGGTCCCTTTTAGTTTCAAATACAATGTTAGCAATTTAACACTTCAACCATTAAACCAAACAAAAAGTTGTCGTCAATACATTCCCAGAAAATTATGTGGTGAATTAACTAATTTTTTGTTATGTTTTGCTATTTTTACTTTAATAGTTAACAATTTATATTTGAAATTTTGGGCTATGAAAAAAATGAGGTTATGATTGTTTTTTCAATGAATTGTTTCAATCACTACGGGAAAAATGATTTTTAACGGCTAAAGGTCCACAAAACTACTGCTAGAAACTTTATTGGCAATTGGCAAATAGCTGCTAAAAGAACTGTCGCTAGAAGTTCTAGCGGCAGTTAAAGAACAAAAAACTACCACTAAAAGATGAACTGACTACAGCTATAAGTGCCTTTTAGTGGCAATCACGACTATTGCCAAATCTCTCTCTCTCTCTCTCTCTCTCTCTCTCTCTATATATATATATATATATATATTATAACCTATTTTTTTAATTTATTTCTAATTTTCTTAAAATTATCTGTTTTCTCTACATTTATATAAATTAAAATGAAACACAAAAAAAATCAAAACATCAATTACAATTAAAATTTAAAAATATATTATCTATTCAAAACTTTTGAGTCAAATACATTTTTGTTTCAAATTGATAAATTCTTGGTTTGTACAAGAGATGTTCCCTTTACAATGCCATTGGATCTCCTTGGCCATTGCTAAAAAGAACTCCATCTGGATTCATCTCTAGTGTCTTTGAAGCTAGCCATGTTGAAGGGACAACTATTATTTCACATTCGTAAGATGCCAAGCACCTTAGTATGTTGTGCTTGATCCCAAAATCATAAGCAACAACCTTCATTATACAAATGCACAATTAGACAATCCCACCATTTTTGCCCAATAGAGCATGAACGTGATCACATCTTTCTTCTCACAAGGGACAAACAAGTTGCTGTCTGGATGAAAGTGTGAGCCCGACTTTCCGAGACTTTTACTCTAATGTAACATAATTAAATTGCAAACAAAGAAACCATAAGAAACACATACATAAGTTGCTCTAATGGATTCTGAAGCAATCAGGAAATAGCTAACTTACCAGCAGATAAAAGGAAATGTAAGCATGGGACAAGGCACCATGAAATGCAACGTTCGGGTAATGTCCAAACTCTTGTAAATCTTCTCCAACAACTGTAAAGGAGGAGATAATCAAATATAAATAAGAAATTAATAGCAAAAAAACACTAAGAAAACAAGAGCATAGAAGAATTTAAAGAAAGAAAGAAAACAAGAGTAGACAATAGGCCGGTACAGAAAATTAATTGATGGGATGCCATGATTCGTCATTCTCAACATGCCCATGGTTTTGATGGTGAGTCATGTTGCTAATTCTCCTGAAATGCCATCACAATGCAATTCGTTGAATCCTAGGATTCCTAGAGTTGATATTTAAGTTTATGAAATATCTCAAAGAAGAAATAGAGCTATTAGAATAATACCAAACCACACTATTTAGCTTTGGTTTTTTAGAGAAGCTCCCAATCACACTATTTAGCTGAGTTCCAATCAGCCCCCCCCCCCAACGTCAAACAGCACATCCCTATCGTGTATTGGGAACATCTCCTGACGATGAAATCATCATTTCTGGTATTATCATGGTGGGATGTGCTGTGGGACGTTGTGGGGGGGGAGGGGGGGGGAATCTTGTGGGGGGCTGATTTGAGAAGATCCCATGGCCGTTGCGGAATCCAAAACTCATTCTGTAATACTGAAAAGAATAGAAGCAGGGGACCTCCCCAATCATGGCCAAGTACAAAGAGAGTGAAGAACATAGCTCCCTGCACAACCTAGTAAAGCAGCCAAACAACCCAATTGTTGATGTAAGTTGTAGTTGCTGCCAATTCAAAGACGACAACAACATCCCTAACGATGAAGCTCATAGACTGCCATGACCCAACAGTGTTTGGGAATGACAGCTCGGACGTCAACTAATCAAAACAGAAGAGGGGCACTGGGATCAAACTCATCGAACTTCACCAACCCCATTAGCGGCATTAATCTTCTCTTATCCTCTATCCTCATCAACAAACACGAACCTCATAGGAGCGTTCACCTTGAGTGCCCAATCTTAGTGTCTACACGCACTCGAGACCTAGATCAGAGAAAAACTAACATCTGTTCCATGAAATTCACCACCTTTACAAGAAATGAATCTAATATTGGTGGGGTTGTTGGATAAAACTCTGGTTCCACGATAACTGTAAAGGAGTGATTCTTGCTCATCCTTTTGCAATTCTTTGAGCAATCACTTTCCGCCCACCCTTGGTCTCCTTATTGTTTACACCCAATAATAACATCAATTAAAATAGTAAAGGTTCAACAATTTGTCATTTGTTTGCACCATGATATCATAGATGAAAAGGGATGGACTTACTGAGCAAAGAATCCATGGGTTCTCTTACGCTTGATGTAGTTGGGTTGGTATGTTCTTTTGGGAAGCAAGAGCATTGTTGCACTGGAAGAGCCTTCTCCTAAATAATAAAAATTTGCACAAGTTTAAGATATTAACAGTATACACGAAAACTAAGAACCATAAGGTCAGAGGCATCAAAGTATAAACATGATTCAGACAATCATGTCTATTCCTAATCATATGATATGTATCTGGATTTTAGGATAAAAACTTCATAACAAATGAAAATTCAAACCTAAATTCCATCCAAGATTTCCTTGTTTTAACATATGGATCTAGACCTACCAAGCAAGGGTTTACCAAGACATTGTTGGCCTTTATCCTACTTTTTCAGTCTGATGTATAAGTTGATATTTTCGCTTCATTTCATTTCATTTCTTTTTCTTTGAATGATTTTAAAACAGACATTTTAATTTTTAAGCACATAAAAAGCAGAAAAGTAACTCCATGTTTACCAATGGATTTATCAAAGGATCACCACTACTTCTTGGCTTCATTTTTATTCATCTGTTCTTTTAACAAATACATTTTTTTCCTAGTTTTTATGACTTTCAAAATATTTGAAAATTGTCATGCCACAAGTACAAATGACATACTAGAATAAATAACTAATAAAATCAAATACCTCCTCATAACAATGACTTAGGCTGAAATAGTAAAACCATCATACTTGGGTGTTACCAACGATTGCCAACCCTGGATCCAAGGCTAAAAAATCAAAAGGAAAACAATACTAGATAACATTTCATTGAAAATACCATTAGAGCTCTTATATGTTTCTAAAGCAGTATTAGACCAATAACAAAGTATGCTAACCTGATACTTAAACTTCTAATCATTAGCTGAAGGGGTTTATATTAAGCAACTATAACTTAATAGCCCATCTTCCCTCAACCCTTTGTAGCATCCCCTTCCTATTGTCCAAATCAGAAATCTTTCTGACACTCCATACAAAACAAGCTAAATTCAACAGGCCATAAACTCCTTTGTTCTCCTAGGAACAGAACATCTGTGCCACTCCATAACACCAAAAATCAACCCTAGTAAACAAGTCTGTTACTAAAACCCTAGCAAATATGACCATCTGGTTGACAACCCTGCTCTGACTACAGAATAAGCAACAGATCAATGGTTACTATTTAACCAATCAGGTTAGAAAAAGAAAAAAAATTAATTCTTTCCAATAACTAAAGTCTATGTCTGGTTAATCTTTTGTAGAAAAATCAACCTATCAGTTATCTCATTGGCTATTTAGCATATTCTTTTAGATTGCTACAAATAGTATATAGCCTATTTTGTCAATGCTAATAGATTTTGTTCCCCAAAGCTATGAAGAATTGTAATTTCAAATTTGATGCAATATGCCAAAAATTACAGTACTTTTTACACAATCATCAAGTTCTCTTATCAAGGAATGTTCAGATTTTCCTGGGTTATTTTGTAAGCTGAATAAAAAAATATGGTGAGGTTGAGGTTTCAAACGATGTGACAAAAACATTAGAGGGTAATGATACTGCAAGATAACATGGTCATGATAAACTTCTTTTGGAACTTCAACCTTCTCAAAGAGGCTTAAAAAAAGTCAAATTCTGGAAGCAAATTTTGTACTATGGATAGCTGGTAATAAGCCTCTAGGGCCTCCACTTGAATACTATGATCAACCACTAGCTTTTCCTATTGATGGTAGGGCCCAAGTAGAAAACACGAAATCTATTTATCATCTAATTAATTCAAAAACAAAAATCTATTAAGTAATGAGGAAATCCAGGTTTGACCATTACCATGGGTCCTCATGACCTTAGCTACCAAAGGAAACACTATTCCATCCTAAACTAAAATGTGTGCTTCATATGTTCAGGCAAACAAATATTTATGAAAACAAAAGCTTGGTAAAAGCTGAAAAGTAAACAAAATTCATTTCTCTTCCAACATCCAGCATGGTGCAAGTAGTTCTATCAACATATAACAAAAGATCGCAACATATTTTACTTGGCCATTGTTGTTTGAAGGGACAAAGAAACTTTTAACTCCTTCAGATTCTAAAATCTTTGACATCCCAAACATCTGGAAAAACTCCAAAATACATCCCATCACAAAAACATAGTAAATTTACCTACTTGGGCAAGACCAAGACCAACTGCTTACCTACCTTCTGTGTTATCCTCTCATCACAAAAATTCAAATGTTATTCTTCTTGCTATATCCTTTGTTTCTTGATCCTTGTTGACCACTCGAGCACGAAGTGGGTCCCCTCTTGATGTAATTTTGTTTACCATCAAAAGTGCCAGAGATTGGATATTGATAGGGCAGAGAAACTCTTTGAGTGCAATGATCAAATGTATGCAATTTCATTTGTTCGGAAACAACAAAGAGGAAGATTAATAATGCCAGTCAAGTGCATGTTTTGAAAATTTAATTTAGGACATTTTGTCCTTCAACTGTTTTCGTCAATCTTAAAAAATTAAATGCTCTAATTAGGTAATATAAGTAGTTTAGTGAAACCACAGGGTATAGCAAGTAATTAACCCTATATTCTATTTAACTACTAACATGTATATATCCATTTATATTTTGTACTAAGTAGAATGGTGTCCATATAAACTAAGTGTTCCAAAAATCTTAACAGGAAACATATAAAAAAAAGTTCAGTACCAATCGGAAGTCCAACTGCTTGAGAAGCAATACAGCCTTTACTCTTTCATTTGTGGGCTCAGAATCCAAGAATAGCTTTTCTTGAGATGGAAAAAACAAAAGAAAAGGAAAAGGAGGCATGAAATTGTGATGTGCTCATCCTAAAAGAAAAGTTCTTTTATTAGTTACTGTTTATGTTTTATTGGTCATCCTAAAATAAGAATGTGGAGGCTATGGTGAAGAACATAGAGAATGAACTTCAATAGTATAACCCTTGGGAGAATAAAAAAGTTCATCTATAACATCCAATGTTAAAATCAGATAACTGTTCAAAGGAAACCATCAAATGGATTTGTTCCTATACACATTGCCATCTTATCAAAGTTTCCTTCTGATTTTTACATCTTATCCCATAACTCCTAACAAACTATTTAATATTGATAACTCTGCTCATTGCACTGTGTTAGAAGCAGAATATTAATCCTTGATAGATGTGTAAACCCTTGTATCCAAAGGAAATATTTAAATCAATTAAATTACTACTATCTAGAGTGGGGAAAAGAACACAACTTCTGACTAAAGCTAATCCAAATTTTGGATTGCCTCCCAATAAAGAGGTAACATAAGCCCAAAAAAAGTGTACCTGAAGTTTCTTTGTAACTATACTCATTGCTTCTTCGGATGTTCTCTTGCAATCATGGAAGGATGAGTCCCCATATGCCTAGACAAGAAAACAATAAGAACTATCTTTCTCATGAACGAGAAAATTTAAGTTATAAACAAAAATAGAATGCAGAGGGGGGGAAAAGGAAAACGCATAAAAAATTAACCTTAAAAATTGGTGTGGCTCCAATAAAAACTTGACCGCATCTGCATAAAATTTTGATTTGATACACTTTCCAAGTCGAATGGGAAGATCATAAATGAATTGCTCTTTTCCACAAAACATGAAACCTCTAGTGACTCATACATGGCCAATAGACCAAAACTTGCATGAACTATCAGATATGAGAAAAAGACACCCCACAACGTGTTGTCTTATCTAAAGATAAGCCTTGATGCTGCATGTGGATAAAAATGTAGAACTTCCTTAAAGCAAAACCAGATTTTGATACCAATAACTTGTGCATAGTGGCACATAGCCTCCACTTAGCATGTCCTAGGTGAACTCTTAGGTGGATTATGTCATTCGAACAATTTCTCATTTCAGGACTTACAAGACAGTCATGGCACAAATAATTCTATGGTTCAATTTATACATGTACTTTCCTTAGAAGGTTCCTGGTGTCGTGCAATTTATCTATATGTTCTCTCTTTTCCAGAAGGAACGTTTTAACCCTATAACTTCTAGATTGCACAGGCATAATCTAGAAGGGATATATCAATTAATTCCGTTGGGTGGAGAGCTGAGACAAATCCAAATAAGTTAGGACAATGAGAGAGAGATTACCTGACGCAGACGTTGTTGTTAGGTGTTGTCTAGGTGAAAGTTCGAATGTGAGAGAGCAAGCAAGTGCGAGAGAGAAATAGGGTGGGACAAGAGTGAGAAGGGGTAGAGACTAGAGAGGAGGAGGGAAGTAGATCTAATTCACGCTAGACTTTTAGTGGTAGTCGATCCTGTTTATAGCGGTAGTTTTAAACATATGCTGCTATATAGTATTATTTTTAGCCCCTTTCAAAATTGCCGCTATTTCTTAATTTTCCTGTAGTGAATTTAAATCTCTTGTTGGGAATAATTTTGGTAGATTTTAATGTTATTTATTACTATATATTTTTGGGAGTTTATACTATGAGTTATAGGGTTTTAAAGGCTTATAAAGCTCCTAAACACAAATGTTACCATTGATTACTGATAAGTAATTTTTATTCCCCTATTTGATTGCTTTAGAGAAATTTTTGTTGCAATCTTAATGTTTATTTTTCTTGATCATTTGATGGTAATAGGTTAAAGAGAATTAGTGACAAACTTAAGTTTATTTTCTTTTTCATGCATATTGTATCCAGTACAATCTACATACTCGCCTTACATTCTAGTTGTATTCACTATAATGAATTAGATAGGGGATTATGCTGAAATCAGATATCAAATTAGGTGAAGCATTGCAACTTAGGTTACCAACTTCACAGTTATAAAATTGTTGTATGTCTTCTACTTAGGTAAACCGGTTTTGTAGATAGTGTGATGGATACAAACAACCACATTCTGATACCTATTTGCTTTACAAGTTTGTTGAATAAGTTGTTGGTAGAATTAGACCTTCCTGAACCTGAATGGTACTTAGTTGAGTTGATGTTGAGTATTGTGTCAAACTATCATTTCTAGTCAATGGAGAGGAATGGAAACTTATTGGAGATCCCAACCTCTTAATTAATGAATATTGACAGTCTGCCTCAAAGAGTGCAGTTGGTGGAACTAAGCAGGAATATCACATTGACATTGAGGATGCAAACTTCATTTATGAAGGAAATTAACTAGCATTTACTTCCCTACAAGCATTAATTTCAGGGATATAACTGATAGAAGTATTTCTCACATTGTGTATTTTCTTTCTTGAGAGCTGAGATATTGTAGATTGTAGTAAATTTTATAAGTAACATGTACAGGTGCCTACATAAAGACAAGTAGGTAAAATGACAATCACCTTTTTTACCTTGGGAGTAACAACCAAAGGAAGGGTAAAATGGTGGATTAAAGGCCTAGAAGTGCTATGCCTTACCAAGAAAGGTTGGGGAATGAGGGCAGTTGGTTGAGGATTTGTCTAGCTGATGTGATTCACACCAGTAGGGCAAAACCACTAAAGGGTTTAAAGGTTAACTTGCTGTTATAATTCAAAATAGCAAAACCAAAGAGAATTGAGATGGCTTTAGGTTTATTACAAGACTAGTAAGTGGGCACACATGGCAATTCTAAATGATGAAAATGATAGTAATAATGTATCCAGAAATTTTTATAAACTTTATGTATTTTTTATTTTTATTTTTGTTTTAATTATTATTCGAATGTAGATTGCCAATTCAAAATCTTATTACATAAACACCTCATACAAACATATGATAATTGGATTGAGTTGAAGTTTCAAGTATCATTGGCAGGCCTACCTACTTTGCTATATTCTTCTTTTTGTAATGTTTTATCTCTTTAGTGTATTTTTTTTTATTCATTTATCAAAATAAATGTAAGATTTAAATAAAGGGAATTGAATGGGGGTGAAAAGTAGTAGTTCAATTTACAATTTAAACCTCACAATTAAATAGGAACTAAATTCAAAAATGAGTATTTTAGTCAAAAGAAAGTTCTAAAATCTTATTCGTATTTTTAATAGTAGTGTAAATATAAAATTATAAATGTGTTAAATTTTTTTATAACTTTTTTGTATTTCTATGTGTAAAAAATATTTTTGATTTGTCACACTTTTTGTTTAATGTGATAAATATATGATATTATACATGTGCCTGATTTTTTTTGTAAACTTTATGTACTTTTTCATTTATATATTTATATATTTTATTAATTTTTATTATTTGTTTATGATATTAAAGGTTAAAACATTTGACCCAAAAGTTGAACTATTAATCTAGAGGTGTAAAACGGGCTGTGTTGGGCCGGCACAACATGGTCCACATGCGGCCCATAGGCCGTCCTAGGCCGTGCCTCCCTCCTCTAGGATATTTTGGGGGTCGGCTTGATATGGCCCATGAACCAAGCCCGTGCCCTGCCATGGGCTAGGCTGGTCCGTGGGCCGAGCCGTGGACCAGGCCAAAGCTATTTATTTAAAAAATTGAAAAAAAATCTTAAACATTTTATTTTATATGAATTTTGATGTATACAATTGTTTATATATACAATAATTAAATAAAATAGTATAATAAATTTTAAAAACAATTGTTTGTTTTATTAATATATTATATACTATATATTATTATATAATTATAATTTATATAATATTATATATAATATATATATAAATATATAAATATATATGGGTCGTGTTGGGCCGTGCTGCAAGTGGCATGACCTGATTTACACCCCTATTATTGATCCTTGCCAAACAGTAAAATAAATTCATTTTTTGTTGGTTCTAAATTATGTATTTCATTTTCATCATCAATAAAATTAATTCTTGTTTATTACACTCTTTTTTAATTTGATTAATAAAAATGTCATAAATGTGTCTAATTTTTCTACATTTTTGTAATTTTCTATATCTATTTGTATTTTAAAAATTTTATTACCTAACTATCACTTCATAGGTTGATCAATTTGATTTGGATGGTTGAATTTCTTAGCCACCACTTGAATAAAGAATGCTTTTGTTTTTTAAGTCAATTTTAAAATATATAGGTTTATACTGTTAAAAATATTGACATAGATTTAATTAGTAGTATTTATTAGTAAAAAACTAACTTAAATACATGATTTAATAAGAGAAAATGAGACTCAATGCCTTAAGTATAAGAGTTAATGAGAGGGAATGAAATGAGGTGGAAAGTAATAATTGAAGTTACATTTTCGACCCTTACAATTGGAGATGGACTAAATACGCAAATATGGGCATTTTAGTAGCCATTAAAGTTGACATTAGAACTATAATAAAATGACTCTTATACACTTTCTGAGACAAAAAAAAATAAAGGGTAAATTATTCTAAAAAAGCATTCACTCTACATCTACACTTTTATATATAGTATAGATTGATGAGAGAGGGTCTTACGAAGTTGAGTTATGAGCCATTCCAAGGTTCAACTTCAAATTTGATATATGTATACAAAATGTAGGCAAAAAACATTTTTGGTATGTGAAGTCAGTTAAGTGTGGGCTACAAGTATTTTTTTCCTCTTTTGCCCCTCTTTTGTTTGAGCTTTCCATTCATTTTTGCAAGGTTGTCATCTTGCTTCTGATGTTCTTTAACATTTGATTCAAGTGGAGAAGTATATGAGAGGAATAACAAAATAACAGTGAGGGGAAGAGAGGTAAACAATAACTAATTTCTTGGTTACTGTAACATTTAATTACTTTTTATATTCTTTTATGATACATCCCAATATCCCGTTTATGTTGCCTAGAACAATGGAATGGATTAATATGTTTCTTGTAACATAGACAAGAGAGAAGTCTATACATGGGTCTTAGAGTGAAGTAAGCATTGTTGCCAATTAAATTTCATATATTATATAGAATTTGCATCCAACCATATGATATGCCCACTTTCTATACAATATGAACTCATAGAGTCATGCACTCATGCTCCAAAATAGACACTTAAACAATCTTGGTTCTAACATAACTTAGTGATACTTTAACAATCTTTTCCTTTGTTTCTTTGTCAAATATTACTCCCCTTATTTTGCCATCATTACTATAGGCCGAAGCCTTGTTTTTCCTCTTTCCTAACTACATCTTCCAACAAATCACCTTCTATCCAGCATTTACTTAATGCTAAATGGATTATTTGGTAAATTCCTTTTGTACTCCCCCTTTGATTCCTCTATACTGTGAAGACTAATTAAAATTATAAAGTTCACAATTTTATATTTTTACTCAGACTAACTACAACAATTGAGTTCTGCTAGTAATATATAACATCAAGCTAAGCCAACAAGTTAGTCCCCCGAGGCCAACAAATTCATCTCAACCGTCCATAATGTATTTGTACTTTAATTAACTCATGCAATATTCAAGTAATGCATGGAAAATCTTAAAAAAATCAAAGCCATGTAAATTAACATATCAAATAAATCATGAGACATTGACTGTCAAGATGGCCTCCTAAAATCAGCTAATCAATCTTAGGGTCCGTTTGGTTTGCAGGAATAAGGGTCTGGAATTAGAATCAGAATGGTCCATTCCGATTTCAATTATTTGGTTGGGTGGAATCGGAATCCCATTCCTATTCCTAGGTGGAATGGCATCCCCCTCATATAAGGGAATGGTCATTCCTTCCCCTCCCTTAGGAATGAGAATCCATTCTAGCCAATTCTAATTCCAACTCCAAACCAAACCAAATAGGTGAAGAGAATAGACCATTCCGATTCCAATTCTGAAGGATTCTGATTTTGGTCGTGAACCAAATGGGCCCTTAGTCATTTAAATTGTGTGCCGATGCCGATATTTTATCTAATTTACTATGTCCAAATTATGTACTAAATCAATCATCAATATGATCTTCGAGAATTTATCTCAGCCACCTAAGTAATTAAAAAAAAAATCTATCCAAATAAATATATCAACATTTCAAAAAATAATGATATCCAAATTAATAATGCAGTATTGCAGTGAAACAACCTAAACTCTAGACCATTAGAGATACATAAGGAATAGTTGATCAATCACATTCATCCGAGTGGTGTATCAAGATTTTAGCTACATTCTAACATGTTTTAAGATTATTTTGGAATGCCATTTTAGATGGTTGAGATTAATTGATTGGTCATATCAAGCCATTTTGATGGTCATGATTTTTTTTTGTTTTTTTATATCTTCACATAGAATATGTTTTATTTTATTTTATTTTTTTTGCATTACTTGAATTACTTGGATAAATTGAAATATTAGTAACTTAGATGATACTAACTAATTTGTTGTTTTTAAGAGACTAGTTTGATAGTAGTGATTTTTCACGTTGATTTAGTATATTATTCGGATGTCTAATATTGGTTGAAATTTTGGTACATCAACTAGGTGGTTGGGATTAATTTACTTGTCTTAAGAGAATAATTTGGTGGACTATATACCTTTGGTTGGTTTGACACACCATTTGGATGTCTTACATATATGTGGAAAAATCCACACATTACTTATGATTGAGATCAAATGAAATTCAAATAAATCATATCTACAAGCTTTGTTACTATGATGATCATGGCCGAGGACTGAGCTGGAGCAATTATTTTCAGCCTAGCCCAGAAATTTTCAGGTTTAAGCCATAATATTATTTATATTTCTGTTCAAGCCAGGTCCATGCCTAGGGTATAACCCTTAACATAGATGCTAAGCCCAACTTGGACTTGCCCATAATCATCTCTAACATTGAATATACAATTGGTTCTCTATTCAATGGGCTTATGGGTGAAAAAAAAAAATAAACACTATGATGGAGGATCCATATGAAAATGATAAGCTCAGGCTCTTATATTATCTCTTTATTATTATTATTATTATAATAATAATATGATGATGATGATGATGATGATAAAGAGAATAAGGTGCTGTTTGGCAAGTCTTTTTAGAAAGATCTTTCAATAGTTCAAACGGCAAAAAAACATATTGAGCTTTTGGGTTCTTGTCTTTAAAGACAAAGACCATTTGGTAAGTGACTTGATCTATTGGGCTTTTAAAAACCATCTAGAGGCTATTTATCACGTAGAAAGACCATAAAGTGTTATTTGAAGCTTCCCAAAATTCGACGTTTCTGGGTCTTTCCACAGATGCATCCTTTCATCTTCATGTTGCAGGTGTGCATTGGGAACATATCCCCATGAATGACAACATACAAATATGGTAGATGTTCCCAACAGTAGCACGTGTTGTGAGGAGCAAATCCAGAATATATATATATATATATATATATAAACAAGGTTGTCCACAAGGTTGTCCACATCACTAAATATCTTAAATAACAAAATATTAAAAATAGCTAAATAATTATATAACAAAATGCTTAATATTATGTAATATCTTTAAAATAAAAAAAATAAATAACAAAAATATATATATTTTACATATTATTTAAATATTTAACATAACTAAATTTTAAATAGTTAAAATAGCAAAATCATGTAGGTTCCAAACAACCTACATGAGAATTTCCCACTTTCCCATATTAAAATTATATTTAAAAATGGCCAAAGAAAAATTATATATATATAGTTAATTTACAAATGGCCAAACCAAAATTGATCCAACCTGGTTGGGTTGGGAAATTTTGAACCAAAGCCGATCAGAAATACTAGAAAACCGATCAACTCGGGTCGAGTTGGGTTGGGTTGGTTTCATCGGTTTGCTAAACAGCCCTAGCTGAAATTAGTTATTGTTATTTTTGTATTGTAAAAAAATATTAAAAGCAGTATTATAAAATATAAATATTTTTAATTATTTAAAAAGTTAAAATATAAAACAATTGTATACTCTTATGTATTTCTATTGTTTAGCTTTTGCTTAATAAAGCCCATGCATTGCATGGGTCCCACTAGTATAGAAATATAGCATGGCTTAAGAGACTAAAGGGCTATGGTTTTGTTTTCAAAAACACAAACAATTGCCTGAAAAAAGCCAAGTGAAAAAAAAAAAAAAAAAAACTTAATGTAGAGGTAGAAACTTAATGGAACATGGTGATGGTGCTTCCAGTTCTTATTCCTCCTTGCTTGGATACCACCTAAAGACAAGGATCAGAGTATTGGTATCGGGTACCGTATCAAATAAGTCGGATACGGATACGCTTTGGAAACGTATGGATACGAATGAAAGATATAGAAATGCTTGGATACGCTAGTGAAATGCATACAAATCACATAAATACACTAGTAATACTAAACCAAAAGCTGAATTATCTATGAATAAGATATAAAGACATGAGAAATGCATACTTCAATAGGTTATATGAAGAGAAATATTACAATAAACAATATCAGGACTCTAGAACATTCAAACATTGTACAATAATTATCATTCTTTCAATTTTTATTAATTTTTGAGAATATTTATTAATTTAGTATTTTATTTAAATAATAACTACTTTTAAATAGTAAATATGTTTTCATTTTTAACATATTATATTTTTATTTTATACATAATTGTAAAATAAAACAAATAAATCATTTAAGGTAGATAAAATAAATTATATTTGATTTTCAGTTTTTATTAAATATTTTGGGAAAATTAAATCTTAAATTATTTGTTTCAGTTTTTATAATTATAATTTTCTGTTTTCCATTAATTTTGTTGGGAAAATCTATTTATTTAGTATTTTTATATAATAACTATGATTCCATTTTTAACATATAATTATGTGTAAAATAGAATATATAAATCATCTAAGGTAGATGAAATATATTATTTTTATAATTTTTAGTTTTTATTAATTATTTTGAAAAAATTAGACCTTAAATTATTTATTTCATTTTTCATAATACTATTTTTAACTTGTATTAAAGATGAAAAACAATCCAAAAGTACTCAATGTACAATTTTGTAAAACTAAACATGGATATGCCTCCGTATCGGTGTGTATGAGATCATATCCACCGTATCAATGAATACGGCCCGATACGAAGGCATATCGTACCAATACGCATGACTCATGGGATACGTATCCAGTTGTAGCGTATCCTATATCCATGACCACGGATACGGACCCGATACGTCCCGTATCGGGAGTATCGTATCATACCTTAATCTTTGCCTAAAAAATGGAGATGGAACTTATTTTGTGTTTGTGGTAATCCAAATGTAGACCTCATAAAGGGATAGTTAAAACTTAGTGGGGCTAAGAGAAAGGGGGTTAAGAATGGAGATATAGCTTATTCTGTGTTTGTGGTAATCCAAATGTAGACCTTATAAAAGGATTGTTGAAACTTATTGGGAAAATAGAGGCTAAGAGAAAGGGAGAATGACGTTATCATATGGGAGATGGAAAAAAGGTGTATCTTTGTTTTTAAAAGTTCAATAGCTAGTATCTTAAGTGAGAAGGAGCATTCCCATTCTACGACCCAGATTATTTTTTACCTCGCAAGGAGATGAAGAAAATACCCACTACAAGAAAATCGGTCTATGACCGCCGGCTAGGTTAAGACCGCCAGCTTTGATCTAAGGCAGCGGTCTTCAGTCCACCCCCTAAACATCTGCCGGCTTAGGTCAAGACCGCCGCCTTTGGTGGCCGGTTCAAATTGCTCTAAAGCAGCGGTCACACCGAGCCACCGGCTTAGCATTAATCAGGCGGCGGTTTGGACCGCTGGCTTACATACCAAAAGACTGCTGCCTTAGATTTCTACCAAACTCCCTCATGTTCTTAGGTGGCAGTCTAGACCGCCGCCTTAGGTCCATTTAAATGTTGTTTCCGTTTTTAGGTGGTGGTCTCGACCACCAGCTTAGATCTCTTTAGAACGCCGCCTTAGGTTTTTTTTATGTCTAAGGCAGCAGTTGTATGACTGCCGGCTCTGTCTTTTTTTCATTATTTATATCAATTTGATTTCTACATTTTTTTAGTACCTGTTTAATATAGATCTCATGGCACATAATACATAAAAATCAATTTAAATAAAAAACTTTTAATCAAATTATTAATTATTATAATATCCAAAACAAATTGATTCAATACAATATCCAATTGACATATAAAACGGTACAAGGCATTTAGAAAAAAAAATCTTCTTGAATAATGTGACACATCTTCATATTTAACTCTAGCACCCACAACTGCAACAATAGTAGAGCCACCCTTCTCTGTTATTAGGTCTTCTTTACCACTTTCTTCGAACCTAACAACTTGAGCAAATCTCTTGGTCATCTATTTTATGAAGTCACTAGATAGTGAGACTGGATTTCGGTGCTCATTGCCGTCAACAACAGGGACAACCATCAAGTTGGCTTGCTGTTTCTTCCTTTCCTACATGGCTTTCAATTCCTTGTTCCAATTTGACCTGCAAAAAATACTAGTATTAGATAGGAAAAGAAACTAAGGTTGACATGAAAACCCACATGGGCACTACATCAAAAGCAAACAAATAAAACACAACCAACAGTATATCATGCATACATAATAAAATGGGCCAAGGAACCTACAAGGTAAAATTTAGCTCCGCCCCTGGTATTCAGTCCCTGCTACTGCTAACCTCTCTTTATTCTTATTATTCTTTTCAGGAGAAGTTAACCTTTATCTAAAATTCGGCGTGCATTATATGATATAATAAACCCAACCCAACCCAAGTCAAGTAAGATTTAAGTTGAACAGTTCATGGTAATCTTCAGGTCAGATTAGGTTAAGACTGAATGTTCAGTACACATGGACTTGCTATTGTTAGCTCCACCAAACCCAAACCTGCCCAAGTTGTCCTCCACAGCAGTTGCACCTACAAGAATTAAATCTTTTTCCATCTTATCTGGTACCTGTTCAAGCATCACCTCTCTATCACCACCTACATTAGTCTTTGCCTTAAGAAATTCATTGTTCCAATTAGAATACTCTGCCACTTCTAGCTTTCTATATGCAAGTGCCAAAGTCCGCAAACCTGCTTCTCAATATTCACTCAGATGCCTACTTTTCTCCTCCAAATATGTTCTTCCATTTTTGGCTAACCGGTAAAAAATTATGCTGCATGATCCAAGCAAGAAAACATACAGTGAGTGTTTGAAGATGAAATTAATGTAGCTTTAGGAGAACACAACCAAAACGAATGGCTTGACCTATTAGAAAACTTGAAGATCTCTTGGGGAAAACACATTATACAAACAAAAAATAGCATATAAATCAGACCTGTCTGCACCTTTGCACAGAAGAAGAATCTCTCCATTTTCATCCTGAACAATAACAGACATCCGCTTCCATTTGCTACTAAACTCCAACAGATTTAGAATTTTGAACTCCATGAAAATGTTCCAACAAATAGGTGGATTAGATGCCATGAATCAAAACAATGAAAAATTGAAGACCCTAAAATATATTTGTATTCTAACCTTTCAATCAGGTGCTCAGAAGAAGGATATCTTTCTCGAATGAAGACACTTGTTTGAGTCCGTTTACAGAATTCAAAACCAAACTCTCTATCTGCAACAAGAAAAGCTCCCTCATCTAGTGATTCAGCCTCATAGTTGAAACTGCCAGTTTCCTCATTTAGCTTAGGAATTGTTGTGTGGCAAAGTGCCAGTATCCGAAAGAACAATATGGTGTCTGAATTGGGTTCTTTCAACCAATTTCCATCCATGCAGCTATTTCAACTTCACTAGAACCCATACCAAAGGCAACACCAGCAATGGAGCACTTAAGGAAGTCCATCTGATTGCATGTTAAAGTGACCGTCTTATCAAAAAGAATAGTGTGAACCTGGCCGAGCTCCTCATTCAGATTTGATGTACGAGCTTCAGTAGGATTGCTCGTCTCCTCATCATACATGTTTATGTCTTGGTTAAAGAACATTGCTTGCAAGACCTTCACTACTTCAATTGAGACATAGAATGATATGGGTATTAGATAGCCATAGAGGATAAGAGTAGTGACCAGATGGAAAGTACCTGACAACATAGGCTTTGATGGATTATACAAATTTGTAGTATCTTCTGGTTGCAAGTACCACCAGTCTGGCATCCCAAACTTTGTCTTCACAGCAAATCCTATCGAGCTGATCAGCAATATCAGAACAAGAAGGGTACAAAGGATGTATATTATTTTACCCATTTTATCTATTTAACTCCAGACATGTCACATATCTACCACACTCTTTTTTTTTTTGACATGTTTCTTCTACTCAACACTCTAATTCCATACCAGATTGGGTTTAAAACCAAACTACAAAAAAGCTTGTAATATCCATATAGAAAAGCAAAAGTTAGATACATTATTTATTTATTTATCCTCTTCTCTTCTCAAACAAAAGTGCATGATCAAACAACTCAGTCCAACTTAATAAAGCCTTAATCCAACTATATTAAACCTGCTAAAATGGGTTTGGTTGGCCTCAATTAACCCAACTAGAAGGTAAGGAAGCAGAATTCCCACTAGGCTTCAACATCAAAGCAGATCCTTTACAGAGGCAGAGAAGATCATCCATGCCATTGAATTGTAAACCTCTAATGGATTCATTGTTAGGTAGAGCTGATCGGTCCAATAACCAGTGGCTGGTATCTGACATTTCTTGAACTCCAATCTCTTTACCCCCACTATGAGATTCAGGCTACAATTTCAGTAAAACAGATACTAGATTTAGAAAACTAATAATTAAGACAAGAGTCCCTTGCTATTGTGCTTAAAAGAAGATTGTGTTTGGTGTTTTTACTCCTTTTATAAGATTTAAGCTATGAATTGCAGTAAGTAAGTGAATGGTCCAGCAAATTAATGATCAAGATTAGGGTTCCTTGCTTATGTGCTTCAAAGAAAATTATGATAGTGAAAATCCATTATATGTACTCTACATGTAAGTAGTTTCTTCCCTTCTTTCTCTACATAAAGGTATAGAACAGTGCTGAAAAGCCTCAGATCAATCATTTTTAGTCAAAATTTGTGTCAATTTTTAGGTCAAACCCACTGTTTAAAGGGTTGAGTAGAGAGAAGAAAAGGCAATACTGAAAATTTGCAGTGGCATTCAAAGAGCATGAGCAATAAATCCTATGTCATTTGGGAATCCAGATGAAATTGTTCTTCCTCCTGCTGAAGGATTGATGTTGAGGCTGCAGCTGAAGCTTTGCCAAGAAATTTGTGGAATGCAATCTGAACTTTGCTTCATGTACTATACTCATTGATGACCAAACCAAAATGACTATTATGAGACTGAGGGAATCAGGAAAATAGATGTGTATCAACAAAACGGGCTTTAGAATTTGGGCTGAATTGCAGAGTGCCATCTAAACAATCACCACTTACCAAACTCGGCCATGATGCAAATCAACAGTCATGCCACAGGAAAAAAAAGTGGAAACTAGGAATGCATATGCGTACAGAAAGAAAGAAAGAAAGAAAGAAAGAAAGAAAGGAACACAGGGCATATAGTCCATAAGAGGAAAATCCAGAAAACAAAAACAGTAACAAAAGTGTATCAAGATTTTAAACTTTTTATATTTAGCAATAAAAAAAGAAATCAGGAAATAAGCATAATTGCATGAGGCACCAGATGCCAACCACAATGCATTCAGGTTTTGCAATAAGTGATTCTAGAATACTTCACATGTATAACAGTTTAGTATATCTCATAGTAAGTAATTAGTGAATTTTTACCACATAATGGTTTTGTAGAAACAAACAAGCCTTCCTAACCTCGGAATTATGTGTATTTATGTGAAACATAGATTCATGAAAGCATCATGCAACAGAACCTAAAAAAGAGGTTCACATTTCACCATTTTTTCAGTTCTGTATAAATCTAAATCCATGAATTTTGCCAAAGGAGATTTCAGAACTTATAAACATAAAAAAAAAATATATTTTCTATTGTGAAGAAAAGTCTTCTTAAAGAAAAATCAAGTGATGGAAATAAAAGTCTTCTATTGTGAAGAAACCCAACCCACCCAAAACAAAACTCCAACTTCTAAATCTCTACCAATCTCTAATTGCTTCATATCTCCAATTCCTACTAAACATCTTTCACCCGCAAAATCAAGTGGTGGAAATAAAATCCAAAAAAGAAAAAGAAAAGGCAAGAAAACAAATATAACATCAACAAATTAAGAAAAAACAATGTATAATGAACTAAAGAAATTAAAGCAAAATTCAACCATCAAATAATTACAATTAGTACCCTAATTTTCTAAAACCCAGGGAGACACACCAAGGATTCCCAATCACAAAATAAAGTTATCAAAACATAGCAACAKCCATATTATTAAAAACAGTCTAACTTGTAAATCATGCCCACCGTACTAGCATTTAACAAAAGGAGAAATGAAGTATTATCATGTTAGATAGCATACCACAAGTGTGCCCAAAAAATTCTTTTGATGGTGATATTGGGTTCCTCATATCCCACAACTGTTATAAATATCATAAAAGGATTACTTAGACTAAAATTGATAATATTTATAAGATAAGACTATGATAATAGGACCAAAATCCTTAATAATGACATATATTTGTACCCTTAGAGAAGGTGAACTGTCATCATCAGATGCAAAAACAAGCTGAGTTGCAATATCAAGATTCCATTGTAAAACAGAGCTTCGCCTTCTATTTGAATCTGACAAACTGTCAGAAACAGAAAAGCCATGTCTAAATATACAATTCACCATGTAGATTCATTACCAGAAAAGTGCCACACCACTGAAAATAGTAGAAAAACATTCACTCTCAGATAAACAATGTGCAAATTCTAAATAGGTTTTTAAAATATTCTAGAGAATAAATATATATTCATTGTCCACCTGTCGTCCCATTATGTGAAATGGATGCAAGTATATGTTGAACCTTGTCATTCCATGATAAGAAAGAAACATCACTTTGAGCACCAGAACCAACACCCTGAAAAATTTTTCACAGATTAAATGCTACAAATATCTTAAAAGAAATAGGCTTGCATAGTCAAAGCTCAAGTCAACTAAACATAGCCTTATCCCAATTGCTAACTATTGGGATCAGCCACATGAGTCCTGTCTCAAGTCTTATGAAATTCACCTCTGCAGTTTGGACTGGATAATACAGAAGAAAGTTTCTCTTTCTCTGGTATAGGTTTAGGGTTTTCCAACATCAACTGTTTCCTTTACAAATAGGTTTCCGGCAAGAATGTAGAAGTGTTGGAGGGTGAGGGAGAGTGAGTTTTTGAGGTTGGGAATGATGTTTGATTGAAGTTGCAGGTGGAGAGACTTGGCATTTCCCCAACACCGTGCTAGACTAGATGGCAGCGATGAGAGGTAGAGCTATAGCTAGCTATTGTGAATATTTTTCTACTTTAAAAATGGAAAATGGAGAGAATGACAGAGGAGGAAGAAAACTAATAAAAGAAGTGGTGCTTGATACCCAAAAAGTTCTCCTTCTCAAGCACAAAAGGATTATTCCCCTTTCTCAGTCGAAGAAGTCTGCTACATTGCTCGTGAAGAAAACTGATTCTGCTCTGCAATTTATCTCAATCGAAGAAGCCTGCTACCTTGCTCGTGAAGAAAACTTATTCTTCTCTAATTTATCTTGCTCGTGAACCTTCTGTCTTCTTCAAAAATTCTCTGCAAGGTTATCTGGAATGAGAACCATGTGTTTGACAAGAGAACCTTGTGTTCGGCAAGGACCTCTACAAGGTCCTTCTATTTGACATGAGAACCTTTTGTCTTGTCGAACAAAAGGAGCCTTTGCACGGGAGAAAGTAGAAAATTTTTGCCTCCCCGCGTTTGGTTTGTCGAATTGAAATTTAGACCGGTTTAACTATAAAATCCGCCAAAGTTATTATAATAGACTGCCGCAACAACCTGTTAAAGCCACCTTAGATATGCCTATTAGCGGCAGTCACAAGGACCGCCGGCTTTAACCGTTTTTCTTGTAGTGACCCTTGGATTTAAGACATTTTCAACTCTATTATCTGTTTAGCATTCCACTTTCAGTAATTATTTTCAGAAGTAATAATAATAATTTTGGGCTGCATGGGTCCAGCCCGGTCTGCAACTAAGGGTTGATAATATATACCCAGGCCCACCCCACTTATATGTAGATCAAGCAAGGCACCTACTCTTGCCTGCATACAATAACGTGGTTGAACCTATTGCAAAAATAAAATTTAAATCTAAATTATATTTAAAATTATTAAAAAATGTAAAGTTTTAATCTATCAATTGTATAGTTATTTTGATATTTGAAATTACAATTACGCTTTAGGCTCAGTTTGGAAGGAATACAAATGCAAATTTGTAGAGTGTATGTGAGATTGGATTTCAAGTACATTTGCATCCAAAACTAACATGCACTCTCCGATCTGAATTATGGATGACATTAAAAAAAAAAAAAACTGTTCAATTATATGACCCAAAAGGATTGTTTTCATTCACGTGAATACATCCTTTCAGGTATCCGTAACAACTCACCTGATTCAACAAATCCAAATGCGGCTTCTTTAAAAAATGTGAGGAATTAAATAATTGAGGAAGATGTTGAGGCATTACCATCTCTTCAGTCCATGCAAAGGAGGAAGTAATAATGTCATGCCTCAAATTTTTTATAATGCTTTACAATTTATTAATCTGAATATGTGATAAATAATACAGACCCATCAGTTCATGTAATGGTAAAATCTTAGATGCATAAGCATGAGAACACGGGTTCAAGAATGAGAGCGGCCGCTATGCCAAACTCTCCCACTATCCCAAATACCTGAAACCAATATCTAGTCCATTGATAAAAGATAAGAATATAAGTGTCAGTGGATCAGGTTTGGATTGGATTGGGCCTGGTACATTTGTAATGAACTTATATGGGACTGGATGATCAGAGTGGACCAAATCCAGTCCAATTGACGCCCCTAATTGTAATGGTGAGCAACACATTAATTCTTTATTGAGGTGAGGTTCAATGCAGCCTTTCTTTTGCAACATAAAGCTGGTTATGGGTGCTAGTGATTTGACTTCCACATTTGCAAAGGAGGCTGCATATGCAGAAAGACCTTATAATGGATCCTTTTGATGACTTGGAGGGGGCCAAGTCTCTCTCATATTGTGTCAGGTATGCGCTATACTTACCACAGGAACTACAGTCTTCACTGTATTACTTACTATTGTCACAGATTGAAGCTGCATATGGGATGAAGTGATAAAGCCCAACAACTCACGATCAATATGTGGAAACACACAGTTTCATTTTTGTTTTGGATGAGAAAGTATTAGTTTATATATCTTTATTTTTTTTCTTGACTTTTCCTTCAATCCTTAGCTTAATTTAAAAATAAAAAACGTGCTGCAGAAATAAGTTAGCTGATACCATCACTTGTTCAGCTCTATTGATATTAAGAGGTGGGATCAGGTAGGGTAGGTTGTGACTAATGAATCAAGATCTTTTTGGGTATATTTTTACAATTATTTTATTGTTTGTATCCTAATTTATTTTTTTTAAGGAATTGTTTAACTTAAAAAACTTAGTGCATGTTTGATTTTACTTCAAACAAGTAATTTTTTTATAAGTACTTGATAAAAGTGTTGGGACCACACATTAAGTAGAAAATAAGCATTTGTGGGTGTTTAATAAAAAAGTATCGAAAAAGTACTTATTAAAAAAGCCACTTGGGAGTTGCTTTTTTTTTTTTTAAGTACATGTTAATAAGTGGACTTGTGAAAATTTTGGGACTAAAAAGTCCCTATTTATTTTTTTAAATACTCAGAATTCCCCCGTCTCTCCTTAAACCCCTTTCTTCCTCACTCGAATAGGGTCGAGCATACCAGCGGCAACACCTTCTTTGGGAGTGACCGGCGACCGGTACCTTCCTTTGGATTTGTATATATGTATGAGTGAAGTAAGGGATAAAATTGTCATTTGTGTCAATATAAGCACTTATGGGGAAAGTAACTTACCAAACATCCCCACCTCAATAAGTGCTTAAAAACATAATAAGTGATTTGGCAAGTGGACCACAAAACAACTTTAAGTGGTTGTTAAAATAAATACTTCTAAAAAGTACTTGTGCAACAAGTACTTCTTTTAACAACCACTTAATCATCAAACAGGGCCTTAAGTTGTAAGATAAAATCCTTGAATAGGTTTTAATTCTCTAACACACCCCCTTATGTGAAAGCCCATTGGGCTTGAAACCTAGGCAGACACAGGACTACCCGTACCTTATGGTGAAATTTGATTTATAATAATGAGGGCAACAAGGATCACTTAACCAAACAAGCTCTTATTCCATCCCAAGAAACCGTTCAACCTAAAAACTTAAGCTGTTAGATAAGATCCTTGAATAGGCTTTACTGTCTAACAAATTTTGCCCTAGTGGCTATGCCTAGATGTAGACAAAATTGATCCTTACCCTATAATGTGATTTAGATGGGGCAATTCATTAAATTCTGGCTTTCATATACAAATAAGTCATCTTCAGTTATGTTGCATATGTGGAGTACATGGTCATTTTCCTTGTATTAAGTTATGTTGCATATGTGGAGCTAAAGTAGTTGAACTTAAATTTGACTACAACAGTTGATTATTTAAGTAAAACATTATTATGCTTGTGATTATGGATCGACTAAACCTTTGTCTCTATAACATCTATCGTTAATTGTTAAATTCCCTATATTTGCATATAAATGAGCAAAATTATCATGTTGTTTTGTATACAACTGTTTCTTAGATTGTGTTTAAAGTTAATTCTGGTGACTTTTTCTTGTTACTAAGAATCACCTTTCAGTATGGATTTATGAAACATTTCTAGCTCCAAGCTCATTCTTCAAACAGTGATTGAAGTAGAATTCTAGCCAAACGTAGCCTTAATGGCCAAAGCTGCATTTTTTTTCTTTTATTTTTAATTGGTAATTGACCATTTTATTTTTCTTCCTGTTATTGGCCCATTACATTTACAAGGATTCATCATATATGGGTGTCTTAGCTTTTTATGAATCATTAAGGTGGTGTTTGGTTCCATAGAAAATGATACCATGCCGCCGAAGCTACATCAGACTTTGATAAAACAGTAAAAGAAGCATCAGCATATACTGTTTAGTTAGCCATTTTCATGGAAAAGAAAAAAAAAAGTTTTGCCATTTTCTCAAAAAAAAAAACAACGAAAAAGTACGGACATGCCCAAAACAGATTTCTGAATTCCACTTGCAGATTTATAAACATTCAAATGTCAAATACCCACATTCTATGCATCAATGTCCGCCCGTGAATTGGCATCAATTCTGAACTGGCATCTACCCCAGCAGTACTTTGGGCCTAAAAATTCTGACCCTGGGCTGAACTGTCATTCTCCCTAATTAACCCATCTCAGAAAATGTCATTTTTGACAAATTTTTTCTTTTCTCGAAATGTTTGTTTCTTGGTGTGGTGGTTGACGTGGTGCCTAAACAGATTTATGAAAAAACAGCTATGGAAGCAAACGGCACTTTGCATAAATGTTTTCACAAAATTTGCAAAAACCAAACACCTCTTAAGGCTGCATATGGGTGTGTTTTTTGGCCTAAATGGATTTATGAAAAGCCACTTTTTGAAAAAGTGCTTTTTTAGTGTTTGGCTGCTCTCTAACTTTTTCATTCAAAATAGTTTATTGCAAACATAAAACATTGAATATAGTTTTTTTGGGCTTTTTTCAAATAGATTTTCTTTGATGTAAAAATCCCATTTTGAGTTTTTCACCAACTGATTTTTTTGACCGGCTTTTGACTTCTCCAACATGAAAAGCCCAAGTAATCCATTGGAGAAGTACTTCCAAATAGGGGTGTTCACATTAAATATCAAACCAACCAAATCGACCAAATCGGTCGGACCCAACCCAAGTTGGTCGGTTTTACAAAACCATTGGTCGGTTTCAATTTGTGTGAGAAAATAAATTGACAATTGGTGTGGTTTCAGTTTTCATACATGAAAACCAAAACCGAACATAACTGAGCCTGTATGTTTATGTAATTACTAATTAGTCCCTACCCTATATGTTAAATGTTGATATATTTTATTTGTGTTTTCCTTGAATTTTGAAAAAAAATGGTTATTTATGATAAAAACTAAAAACACAAAATCAATACAAATATAATACAATGGTATAATATTTAATTCAGTTTTGTATAAATTTAAATATATATATATATATATATATATATTGACAAAAAAATTCAGTTTTGCATAAAAAATTAATCGATTTAAATATATATTTTTTTGGTTTTGCATAAAAACTAAAAAGAAATAAACAAATATAAATAGATATTTCAATTTAAAAAAACATATAAAAACCGACTAAACTGGCCCTTCATATTTGGGTCGGTTTTGCTTTAGGGTCAGTCAATTTCAATTTAATCAATAAATAAACCGACTAGATCGGGTTGATTGAAGAAAATAGTTCAAACCGAACCAACCCAACCCATAAACACCCCTACTCCCAAATGCATCCCAAGTCTACATCTTCTCATGAGAAGGACCCTTAGGTCAATTCCATTCAATTTTAAAAAGCTAGGTATATATCATTCATGAAAGTGGAGACATCATTACAAAGGATATCATCAATACAAGGAGGGTCTCCTCAAACCAAGTTGTACTACAGGAAATTGATGAATAACAAATTTTGCAAGATGATGTACAACCTGTTTTCATTGCTAATGCACATGGGTGATCCAGATGAAAGTAAAAGTGAGAAGAAGTCTCATGGCTCCTACATAGATTAAAGTTGGATTACATCTGAAGTGTCCCTCTTAGGCTGCGTTTGGAAACGATGCAA